CATTATTAGCTTAACTCTCATAACTAAGGGAATCTCTCACCTTTAGTCAATTATAACTAGGAAAGGCAACTCTAGCACAATCCTATCTCAAGACTTCTCCTTACTGACCCTAAGTCATAACTGTGCAATGCATGCATAGCACCCAATAATACTATACATGCTAAGTACTACCTTTAGGTCCTTATGCTAACACTTCTTGGTTTGGAACGTAGTTCCTTTCTTCAACTTTAGAACACTATGAGGTACTCTCTTAAGCACATCTTAGTTCATTATTAGGTTGAACCCTAAAAGATACTTCCTTTAGCGTGTCTAAGTTCACTCTTCACATGGACCCTATGAGATACTACCTTAAGCATGCCTAAGTCAACTTATATAGTTGAACACTATGAGGTACTTCATTAAGTAAGTCTTAGTTCAATTATGCTTTAGAACACTATGGATGTTTCTCAAGCATGTCTTAGTTCATAGGATATAAAGATTGCTCCTAAGAACCTTAACTTAACTATGTGAAGGTTCCCATCTCATGAGACCTAACTTTGGGAAAACCCACACTCTACTACGTAAGAGTTCCCCCTTTAACTTTGATAGTCCTCACATCAACTAGGTATGACTCTCCTTTCTTCATGGAGTCTGGATCCTATCTTGTGTGACACTCCATATCATCTTCAATATCCACTTGAGGCCAAGCATACACCTCAAGGTTTACTTGTTAAGCCTTGATTAACACTCACTCTCATGGAAGGATGTCCTTGACAATCAATCCATGTTCAAGTGATTCTATCACTTTCATCTATCAAGCATTCATAAGGTAGGTTAGGTGAGTATTGGCCTTTCACCATAATCCAACCTATTAGATTTCTATTCTCTTTTATACTTTACTCTCAAAGCCTTTACATCAATAGTTAATCACATTAGCTTCAACCTAAAGCCCTAACTATCATGATCACAGACCTTACTCTCAAGGTATCTTTCTTAATCTCTTCTTTATACCTAGATTTCAAGGTGATTTGATCACATCTTTCATTACTAGGTGATTCAAGTCTCAATTGATCATAAAGGTTCAATTCTAGCTTTACAAGTCAAGATCAATCATATACAATAGAGTCTAGTTCAATTCATGATTATATGATCCTAACTTTGATCAATTACTACACATAACATTGAATTAGTAAGATCACATATGAACCTTCAACTGTGCCTCTAATGGCATAAACCCACAAAGATCACATTCATCAATTTAGATTAGGGTTAACCATAGAAACACATGAAATAATCACATTATCAATAATCAAAGCTAAATCAATCATAATTGGGTGATATCCACTAGATTGGAATCACACCCAAGCCCTACCCACAATGTAAGCACAACCCTAACTTGAATGGGGTTTTTGATTTCACAAGTGGGGCAAACTATGGGGGTTCCATGGCTGGAAGAACCCATGGATGATTAAGATTCACATACCTTCAATCAATTCCCTAAACAAATCTTGAAATCAATGGAGAATCGACCTAGATGCTGCCCCTATTTTTCTTCTTCTTCCTTCCTTCTAGAGAGAGAATTTCTTGAGAGTAGTTTGGGGGGTTCTAAGATGAATGAGTTATAGTAATTAGTTTAGGTCTATTAATGTCACGACCCAAGCCTAGGGCCTAGACGTGACCGGCGAATGGGGAACCCGAAGGAACCCCAAACAAGCCTCATAGCGTATCTTACACATCATTGGTCGCGGAAGCAATTAAAATGACCATAAGCGATAAGCATAATCAAGGGGGAAATCGGGACTAAGGGAGCAAGAAAAAAAAAAGAGAAGAAATGATACATAAATACCATAGATGAATCAAGCTCAAACATAATACACAACTTGTCCAACACCACCTCTAAACATAGGTACTTTAGCGGGGGCCAAGACAAACAACTGGGCTCACCCTCATAGTCAAAACATAACTAAAAGGAAAAGTCTTATACATAGCAAAAGATCATAAGCAACGTCCCCGGAATGGAGGACTCACCAATAACCTTGATAGAAAATCGTATTAGCCACGCGGAGGACGAGGGTCAAGCGGTGCTCCGGTCCCTACATGGTGACATCATGTAGGCATAGAGTATGCGTTAGTACGTTTGAATGTACTAAGTATATGGGATGCAATGCAATGCAACAAGGGATGGACATCATAGGCAAAATGCATAATCGTACCCGATAGATAGCATATTAATGAGATGATATGTATAATGATGCTTATATAAAAATCATATTTAGTAGGACATAGTATATGTGTAGTGAGTGACCATCAATATAGTATTTCCAAGGCCTACCACCCCCTTGGAGAGGCGAAAGAGGTACAAACCCCTCAATATGGTTATACGGGCCTACTATCCCCCGTACTAGGCAACCAAGGTACAAACCCCTCGATACGGTTATACGGGCCTACTACCCCCCGTACTAGGCAACCAAGGTACAAACCCCTCGATACGGTTATACGGGCCTACTACCCCCCGTACTAGGCAACCAAGGTACAAACCCCTCGATACGGTTATACGGGCCTACTACCCCCCGTACTAGGCAATCAAGGTACCAACCCCTTGATACGGTTACCCGGGCCTACAACCCCCCGAGCTAGGCTTGATCGACTCACACACTATATAGAGAAAATCATATACATGTATCCATTTCATCATCATTTCAATACTTATATAATCATCCGACTCATGGGACGTACATTGGACCTTCCATTTCATAAGAATTCTATAAATGACATTTTATCAAACATATGGTGGGCTACTTGTTCATGTAAATAAAATCATGTGTTTCAAGAGTACTAAGTCCAACCAATTTCAAAATCCATATAAAACAGCCCACCAACAACATACATATATATATACATATATAACAACCTTCATAATTTGATCATTGAGGCATGAAAACCATAAACATCATATAATCATTCCATTTCATGATAATATACAAAAATAGACCATAATAGGATGTGTAGTAATAATTCCATAATTCAAGAGTTCATAAATGATCATAAGGACCCATAAACTTGAAGTAAAATAGAGGATAAATGGTTGGACTTGTGGAAAGGAAGGTTTCCACAATCAACCCACATACCTCAACTTTGGAGAATTCTTGATGAAGATTGGAATGGAGAATTGCTTGAGATTGAATCTTGAATCCGGAATTAAAGCTTGGGATCCTTGAATTTGGTTGATGATCTTGGTGGAATTTTTGGAGAGGGTTTAGAGAGAGTTTTTGGATGTTTTGAAGTTAAATGACTAAGTATGGATATGTCCCCTTTTTATAAAAACGTCCCAACACTTAGAAAAAAAAATTGAGGCGGGTGAACAGTGTTTTCGGCTACTGGAATTTGCATTTTCTGCCGGACAGGTTTTACGAAAATGGTCATAACTCCTTCATCCTAACTCGGAATGAGGTGAAACAAATTGCGTTGGAAAGCTAACTCACAGAGCTTTAATTTTGATAGTTTGAGCTCCTTCCATTTCCTTGTGTGCTGAGAGATATGCCCCTTTAAAGTTGACCCTCAAAATCGCATTTTTTGCGATTTTCGAATTTTGATACGGTTGCTCTAAAATTTGGGTTAGACCCATTCCCCACTCAATTTGACCCCCTAAACAAGAATATGAAGTCGGATTTCCGAAATCATGCACGGATTTTGAGATATATGGAAATTACAATTATAGGTGTTTCCGAAGCACATTTTCGGGCATTTTTGGGGTCGTTTCAATTAAATATTTATAGGAGGTTGATTAACTAACTAATCGCCCCTCCTAACCCCTAAAATAATTACTAAACTAACCCTCAACTCCTCACTTAAAACTAATTTAACAAAAACTGGCAGCACCTATGAGACCCATCCACAGACCGTGGATGGGTCTACTGGACGTGGTTTGGTCTCGTAGTTTGGGTCAGAGACTCATATTTTTCAGGGTGTTGCAGGCCCTGACCTATGACCATGACCTATGTGGCACAGGCTGATCTAAGGGGCGTCAATAGGGGTCGTGAATCAAGCTATTTTTGACAGCCTTTTGGGCAGTGTTGGGGTCCTCCTCAAGGACCCCTTGGGTGGTCCTTGGGGAGTCGTACCCGGACGTTTAACCCCTAAACATGTCATTCTAAGCATGGGAGTCATTTATCTTCAATGTAACCCTCATACGACACTCCAAAACTCCACCACAAGAGTCTACAACACACTAGTTCAACTCACTAAAATATGGGGTGTTACATTATCCCCACTTGGGAACATTCGTCCTCGAATGACACTTTAAACACTTCTTATAGTCTAAATTCTAACTTAGCATCCCATTATGCATGTACTAAATCTAATGCACATTATCAATGAAGAAACTTCAATCCCAAGCTAAACACATACAATGCAACACAAGGGAGTAGGAACTACTTCTACCAACCCAAAATGCACAAATCCTATATCTACTCATTTTCAAGGAGGAACTAACATCTCCTAGCTAAAACATGCTCATCACACACTCATGGAGCCTAAAATGCAACTTCTCATAAAAGCATCTATTCAAGGAGAAACCCTCCAACTCCACCCACTAAGGCATGCTCATAATCAATACATGAAGTCTATATGCAAGTCTTATTCATTTGCATTACAACATGAGGAAACAATGCATAAAAGCCATTTCTAACAAGACCTAGGCAAAGTTCATGAACAGGCATATAAGGAAATCATGGCAACACAACAACCCTACTAGATAGGCACACTATCGCCCACTTGGGAGCACGCCTACACCAACTTTTCTAAACATCGAATATGCTAAAATGACTTCAAAATCCAACATAACAAGTCATAGAAGACAAGAAATCTGAAAATTTTACTAAAGCATGAAACACATATCGGAAAGGGAGATGAGGAGATCACTCTTGATCTTCTCTAGATTGGAGAGCATAAATCCTATTCTTCTTTTGAGTACTCTCTTTCGGGTCACTAGAGGCAACTTTATTATCCTCCCTTCCCTTAGCCTAAAGAACCGGGCAATCTCTCATTTTGTGCCCATCATTCTCACACCCATAGCAAACATCCATGCCAGCTAGGCACTTACCATAATGACTCCTCCCACCCTTGGAGCAAGTAGATTTGGGAAATGGAGACCCACTACCCTTCTCTTCGTCGAACCTAGAAGTGTTGAAAGAATCTTGGCCAGAATACTTTTGTCGATTCCTAGAACGAGCATGTCCATCGGATCCATCATGGAAAGACTTATCATTATCCATCCTAGACCTCTTTTTCTCCCTAATTTTTTCCTCTTGAAGTTTATCCCTCTCCATTTGTTGAGCATATACCATAAGGCGTGAGATGTCCATATCATCATGGAGCATTGCCGTGCGGCATTCCTTTGACACTAGCTTAGACACTCCCATCACAAACCTATTCATCATATCCCTAGGGCTTGCTACCATAGATGGAGCATACTTAGACAAAAGAGTGAATTTCAAAGAGTATTCTTCAACACTCATATCACCTTGCTTTAAGGTTGATGAATTCTCCAACTTTGGCTTCCCTCAACTCTCGGGGGAAGAACCTATCTAGAAATGCCGACTTAAAAGCTTCCCACTCTATAGGGCCGGTTCATATCGACCTACTATCTTTCCATTGCTCTTGCCAAATTTGGGCAACGTCCTTCAAGCGGCTAGTTCCTCTTTCTCAATAGAAGACACCCCCATGATTGCAAGCACCTTATAAACCTCCTCTATCAACCCATTTAGATCTTCTGCCACTTTGGAGCCATAGAACTCCAGAGATTTCATTCTCCAAAACTCTCTCACCCTAAAAGCACCCATTCCTCGTATAGGGTTTGACGGAGCCACTACTTATCTATTGGCTTGTGTCGTCAAGGCTTGAGCCAATAGTTGCATAGAAGTCCTAAATTCTTCAAAAGTGGCATTCCCAATTGGAGGGTCATTTGGAACTTGAGGAGGAGCTTGATGTGGAACTTGGGGAGGAACCTCTTGATCCCCATTGTCTTCTCCTTCTCTCCTAGCCTTAGCCCTAGTATTTGCCATAACCTGGAAAATCAAAGGCAAACATTAGAAGAAGGCCTACAAAAGCCAAACTCTATGGCACGACTAAGAGAATGAAGAAGTGAAACTTTTCATAAGCATCCAATAGCCTCCTATTCATAAATGTGTCGCAACTCACACCTATGAATAAGACTTCTACTTAGACGTGGTTTGAGACATCCTAAAATTTATCACAAAATCTTATGCTCTGATACCAAGTTTGTCACCACCCAGGGGTACCCCCTAGACATAAGATGGCGTAATTGACCCCGAAGGGGTCGCATACCAGCCCTTAGCACATTCTTACCATAAGATGATAGAAAAATATAGGAGAATTCAAAACTTTTACAATCAAAGTCATTTTCCATAAAGCAAGCGGAAGTCTTACTAAAACCTTTGTCTCAAACCATCTATTAAAACTCATGAATAAAAGTCTTTCGGACGCAGCCCATACAAAGTCTAAAAACATGAAACTAAAGACATAAAGGTAATGTGGTTGTTGTCCTCGAAGTTATGAGGACTCACTAAGATCTTCAACTCCTTGCAACCTCTAGAAACCTATCTTCCAAGCAACTCAAGCCTCCAAACCCTACATTTGATCAGAATGTAGGCAATATGCGTTAGTACAAAATGTACCAAGTATGAAATATAGCACCACATCATCAAAGCATCTCAAATAGTTAGTCAACATAAGACATAAATATAATAGATAATAACATGGTCATAACACAATCAATATAGCCATAGAAAAATCACCAACACAAGCATCATATAAACACAAGTCAATATAAGATATATTTAATGACCATTGGTGATACATCATGTTCATGGCATAGTCTTTACTAAGACTTCCATGGTTACATACTTCAACCTTAAGTCCTTCATGTTACAAGAGAACTACTTCACAAGCCACCTCCAGGTATACTTGTGCAATGCAAGGATAACATCTCATACTACCATCCATGCTAAGTACCTCTCTATGGTCATTCTTTGGCATAGTCCACCTTCACACTCAAGACTTAGGTCTTCATGTCATCCTAATTATAATATATGTACAATGTCTACTCTTAAGCTTCTCTATGCCATAAGGGTACCATACTTCTAAGTAAACCCAAGAAACACTTGTGCAATGCATTAAAGGCATCCCATACTACCCTTCACACTAAGAACAACTTTGAAGTCATCCTAGACAAATTCACTCTACTTTGGCCTCATTATTAGCTTAACTCTCATAACTAAGGGAATCTCTATCCTTTAGTCAATTATAACTAGGAAAGGCAACTCTTGCACAATCCTATCTCAAGACTTTTCTTTAGTGACCCTAAGTCATACTTGAGCAATGCATGCATAGCACCCCATAATACTATACATGCTAAGTACTACCTTTAGGTGCTCATGCTAACACTTCTTTGTTTGGAACCTAGTTCCTCTATTTCAATTTTAAAACACTATGAGGTACTCTCTTAAGCACATCTTAGTTCATTATTATGTTGAACCCTATGAGATACTTCCTTTAGTATGTATAAGTTAACTCTTCACATGAACCCTATGAGATACTACCTTAAGCATGTCTAAGTCCACTTATACTATTGAAAACTATGAGGTACTTCATTAAATAAGTCTTACTTCAACTATGATTTAGAACACTATGAGATGCTTCTCAAGCATGTGTTAGTTCATAGGATATGGAAATTGCTACTAATAACCTTAACTCGGCTATGTGAAGGCTCTCATCTCATGAGACCTAACATTGGGAAAACCCACACTCTATAACGTAAGAGGTCCCCTTTAACTAGGACAGTCCTCACATCAACTAGGTGTGGCTCTCATTTCTTCTTGAAGTCCGGACCCTATCTTGTGTGACACTCCATCTCATCTCTAATATCCACTTGAGGCCAAGCATACACCTCAAGGTTTACTTGTTAATCCTTGCTTAACACTCACTCTCATGGAAGGATGTCCTTGACAATCAATCCATGTTCAAGTGATTCTATCACTTTCATCTATCAAACATTCATAAGGTAGGTTAGGTGAGTATAGGCCTTTCACCATAATCCAACCTATTAGGCTTCTATTCTCTTTTATAATTTACTCTCAAAGCCTTTACATCAATAGTTAAGCTCATTAGCTTCAACTTAAATCCCTAACTATCATGATCACAAACCCTACTCTCAAGGTTTCTTTCTTAATCTCTTCTTAATACCTAGATTTCAAGGTGATTTGATCACATCTTTCATTACTAGGTGATTCAAGTCTCAATTGATCATAAAGGTTCAATTCTATCTTTACAAGTCAAGATCAATCATTAACTAACTAATCTCCCCTCGTAACCCCTAAAATAACTACTAAACTGAACCCTCAACTCCTCACTTAAGTCTAATTAAACAAAACCTCGCAGCACCTACGAGACAAAAGAGTGAACTTCAAGGCATACTCCTTATCACTCATACTACCTTGCCTAAGGTTGATGAACTATTCCAAATTGGCCTCCCTCAACTCCCGGGGAAAGAACTAATTTAGAAATTCCTCCTTAAACATCTCCCAATCTATGGGACCCGCCTCTATCGGCCTACTATCTTTCCATTGCTCATACCAAATTTGGGAAGCATCTTTCAATTAATAAGCAGCTAGTTTCACTTTCTCTATAGAAGTCACAACAATGATATCAAGTGTCTTATAAACCTCTTCTATGAACCCATTTGGATCTTTTTCCACCTTGGAGCCACTAAACTCCGGAGGGTTCATCCTCATAAACTCCCTTACCCTAGAAACACCCATCCCCCTTATAGGGTTTACCGGAGTCACCACCTCTCTATTGGCTTGCCCCATCAAGGCTTGAGCCAACAATTGCATTGAAGCCCTAAACTCCGCAAGAGTGACATTCTCAATCAGAGGGTCATTTGGAGCTTGAGGAGGAGCTTGGTTTTGAACTTGTGGAGGAACCTCTTGTTCTCCATTATCTTCCTCATCCCTCCTAGCATTAGCCCTAGTATTAGCCATAACCTGAAAAACCATAGGACAAAGGTTAGGAGAAAGACCTACTAGATCTAAACTCTATAGCACGACTTAGAGAATGAATAAGTGAGATTTCCTAAGTATCCAATAGCCTCTTATTCATAAATGTGGCGCAATTCACATTTATGGACAAGACTCTACTAGATGTGGTTTTAGAAAATCCTAGAACCATTCTAAACCTTGTGCTCTAATTACCAAGTGTGTCATGACCTAGGGGTACACCTTAGATGTAACATGGCGTACTTGACCCTGAACGGTTCTGATACATGCCCTTAGCATAATCATAACATAAGATGATAGAAAAGTATGGAAAATTTAAAACTTCTTTAAAACCATACAATTGAAAACATTTTCTTAAGCAAGCGGAAGTCTTTACTACAACTTTGTCTCAAACCATCTATTTAACTCTTGGATAAAACTCTTGCAACACTGCCCATATAAAAGTCTAAAACATAGAGAAATGACATAAATATAACATAATGGGTTTGTCCTTGAAGCTATGAGGACTCACCAAACTCTTCAACTCTTGTTGCTTCTTGGAAACCTAGCCTTCAAGAAACTCAATTTCCAAAACCCTACATTTGATTAGAATGTGGGCAATATGCGTTAGTACAAAATGTACCAAGTATGAAAGCTAGCACAACATCATAAAAACATCTCAAATGGTTAGTCAACATGAGACACAAGCATAAGAGATAATAACATAGTCATACCATAAGCATCATAGTCATAGCATGATCTCCAACATAAGCATCATATAAACATAAATGAACATAAGGCATAGTTAATGAGCATCGGAGATAAGTCATAATCATATACATTTGCAAAGCATGAATAGTACCCCATAATACCTCAAAAGTATACATTTGCAAAGCATGAATAGTACCCCATAATACCACCCAAGCAAAGTATCCCTTTTTGATCATCTTAATCATAGTCTATGTACAGGGTCAACCTTTAAACTTCTCTACCATAGGGGTACCATACTCATAAGTAACCTCAAAGAACACTTGTTCAATACATGAAATGCATCCCATACTACCCTTCACACTAAGCATAACCTTGAATTCATCCTAGTCGTATTCACCCTCCATTGGTCTTACTATTGACTTACTATATGTAGACAAGGGAACTATCACCTTTAGTCAATCATATCTTGGAATGCAACTATAGCAACAACCCATGATAAGTATATACTATGTGTGGGAACCCTTCATACCTACCCTTAAGTTATACTTGTGCAATGTATGGATAGCATCCCATACTACTACCCACACTAAGTACCCCTTTAGACTATCATGAATGTTCACTAGGTGGGGACTAGTCCCTCTATTCTATTTGCCTCAATTCAAGGCTACCAAGGAATAATCCTCTAATAGGCTAGACCATGCTATCATCTTACTAACATAATTAGGTTTATTAAAGCTATCTACCTTAGAAGACACACTACCATGCAAGTCCAAGCTATTCTAGGAAAGTTACAAGTGTCCTATCCTAGCTACCATGAAATAGTCCTAGACCAACTATGTCATGCGACCCTTACAAGTATACTATGATACAAATTCAAGCTAACCTTAGGAGAGTATGATTCTCAATCCTAATCTATCCTTAGGAGAGTATGAGTCCTCCATCCCAAGATACCATGGCTAACCTAACTCAAGCTACCCTTGAAGTGCATCTTACAATACAAATTCAAGATACCCTTCGGAGAGTATGGATCCTCAATCCTAAAGCAACCCTTAGGAGAGTATAAATCTTCAATCCTA